TACCATCGGATTGATCCCAGGCGGAAGCCTGGCATTTTTTTTTTTTTTTTTTTAGAAAAAAATAATTTCATGTGTCCAGTAACTAAACATTCAGGATGAATGAAACATGGAGGACACACCAAGAAAGCTAGCTGTGCCACCAGAAATTGTACCTTCCTCTGAGGAAGAGCACATCTCAGAACCACAGGTGAGGTTTGTTAGGCTTTCAGACATATCACTTTTCCATAGCATAGAAGTCTCAGGAGACACACATTTATCACCTCTTGAAGAGTCCAGCTATTGATCAGCTTGTTCAGCCTGTTCCGAAGGATAAATCATTTCCCAGGAGGCTCATTGGGATCCAATGAAAAAGGATTTTGTAGCTCTGGCCTTTTTAGGTTGTGGGGCCCAATTTCACTGTGGTAGGGGTTGGGGTCCTCACAATAAGCCATTCTCCCACCAACGGGACATCCTGCAATTCAGTTCTGACACTGACTACCCAGAGATTGAAGGCTCAGTCCTATAAGACTACCCTGTCCCCCGCCACTCTGATTTCAGCCACCAGCCCCAAGGCCAGGCTTCTGACAGGCTGGCTACAAATTGGAGGTTGCAGTCGACCCCTTTCCCACTCAGGGTGCCCAGTGCCAGTCCAGTTGGTCATCTGTACTTCTGACCAAATGGCTGTCAATCAGAGGTTCCCATGACCACCTTCTTGGGTTCAATTAACTTGCAAGAGTGTCTCACAGAAACATGCTGATTACCAGGTTATTGGTTTACTCGAAAAGGATACCCGAACTTGGGAATAGCCAGATGGAAGAGATGCCCATGGCAAGGTCTTTGGGAAAGGTCACAGCTGTCCTCTCACTGTTGTCCTCTTCTTTACAACAAAACTCCTTGGAAAAATTTCAAGAATTGTCTATCATTAGTCTCTACTCCTTCTCCTCCCATTCTCTCTTAACAGGCTGTCATCCACCCCACTGCACTGGAACAGCTCTCCTCAGCCTCCTGAAGGTCCCCCAGGTCGGCCACTTCCGGTGTCCAGTCTTTGTTCTCCTCCGATCTGACGTGCTGGCTGCATTTGATGGAGAGGAAGGTCTTCCTTCATGAAATGCCCTTCCTTCCTCTTGGCTTTGGGCCACCTCTCTCTTTCGGTTTCCTTCTGTCTGGCTGACTACTTCTGCTCACTCTTCAGCTCCTCATCTCTCACGTTAGGAAGCCCAGGGCCCAGCACTCTGACCTCTTCCCCATCTCACTCTCTCAGTGATCTCTTCCTTTTGCCAGACTTAATGAATTCCAAATATCTGCCTCTGGCTTAGGCTTCTCTCTAGATGAAAGACTCTCACATATCCAGCGCTGAAAGCTTTTTTTTGGGTGCTAATTAGAAAAAGCTGCCCCTTTCCTCAAGCACTCGACTGCCATCTTCTGGGAAATTTCCAGAATAAACACACCTAGCAGATGGCTGTGAATGAGCATGGTGTCTGCACAGCTGTGGAATCCTAGCCATGAACAGCAGCCCGTTTTTCCACAGGGTGGGTGTGCAAGGCCATCACAGGCCCCCAACTGGACTCTTGATCCCCAGCCCCCATCCCTCCATCCTCTTCCTTTTAGTCATTTCTGTTTCAGAAGTTCTTCCCCTTGCTGAGGTCACACTCTTCTCTTTCTCCCGCACTACACCTTTAATCCATCGGTGAACCTGTGGGATTTTCCTTCCAAATATTATACATTAGAATTTAACCACGAATCATCACTCTCACTGCTGCTACAATGATCCGAGCCCCATCATCTCTCTCACCCACCCCCATTATTCCAAAAGCCAGCTTCCTCTTTTGCTCCACATCGTCTGTTCTCAATGCATTAGCCACAGTTACCTATTTAAAACCTGGGCCACCTCTTCTTTTCTCTTTACTCCAAACCCGTCAATTGGTCTGATTGGATCTCATCTCACAGCTCCTCCTCTGTGAGCTCTGTGCTTCGGGGCACCGGCCTCCTTGTTGTTCTTACAACAAGCCAAGTGCACATCTGCTTCAGGCATTTCCGGGATGCTCTTCTGTAAAGCATGGCTTAGTCCCTCCTTTCATGAGTGTTGGCTTGAATGTTTTCATATCAGAGAAGCCTTCTTCAACCAAAGCATATAACAAAGTAACCCTTTCCCCCAGCATTTAACACCCCCCTTACTGTTCAGTCTTCTCCATTGCACTGATTGTCTGGCGTGCACACACATCATTCATTGTTTCTCATCATTGGGATTTAAACTTCATGAAGCTACATTCCCAGTTTCTAAAAACAACGCCCTTCCTGGCAAGTAGAAACTCAATACATATTAGTTGAAACATATAAACATCCCTAAATCTAGCTGTGGGATCCTATCCTTAAAAAACCCCAAAGGTTTGAGATGGTCCTGCACAATTGTAATCTCTCAATCCCAAAATAAAAACATTTTCAGGACTCCAGGGATGAATTTAAATCTCATCTGAAAATTGCATTGATTTTTACAACCTTCTAGAAGGGCATGCGTTTTCTACAGAGAAAGCAAATAGGCGTCATCTAGTGGCAACAAGAGAAGACTGCATTTGTGTTACTTTATGATTCAAAAGCTTATCCTCAAGTGTGCATTTTCCACAGAATATATTAACCTAGAAAGTAAATTCCATTTCTTCTAAAATATTTATAACTTATTTTTACTTACTAATTTTTGTTTTCAGGGATTTAGCATTTTTTGTTCCTATCTACTTTTCCTATTATGCTTTATCCTCTGCTTATCTTAAAACCGTTTATGTTCATAGGGTACTGGCCTAGTCATTGGGTAGGTAAATACAGGCTCTCTCTGAGAATTTATATCCTAATAAAAACAGCATGTATGAGGGTAGACGTGTGAAAGAGCTTGCCAAGCGATGCAGTAACTTCTTAAAACCAGCCTTCTGAAGCCCCTTGAAGGCTTTGGTGTTGAGTATGTCCCCACCATTGGACAGTGAGCTTTCGGAGTCTCAGTATGCCATTTTCCAGAAAATGCACATATAATGATATGCCGGAGAAACAAAGGTAGAAACATTTGTGCCCATGCTCTCTGACAGGAGAGATAGGAATTAATCACAGTCTCAGGCTGCCAGTCAAACTTTGGAACAGTTGGGTCCTTACAGTGCTTGTTAAGTTAAAGCGGAAACTCATGAGTCCACTTCGGGAGCCTGTGACCTTTCCGGCCAGGAGCAGCTGGGGTGGGGCTGGGCAATGCGTACTGCCACCAGGAGCCCAGAGCAGCACCCATCAGCCCAGCAGGTGAAGGTCATGACAAGAGAGGCCGGGGAAGATGGACCCCGTGTGCCCATGCTCAGGTTAATCAGTCTGGAGGAAGACTTTGAGTAGCTTCAGGGGGCAAAAGCTGGACCAATGGAGTATGATATGAAAGCAGATTTTATGCCAACGTTGAAAGCATTTTTCAATGAGGGTGTTTTCCAAAGAGATCCTAGTCTCAGGTCCTTCCTCAGTGTGGATTCAAGCAGAGGCTGGATGATACCGACCAGGGATTTGCTGAAGTTTTTAAGATTCTCTGATTCCTGGCTTTCTGTCTGCACACATGGAAACCCTCCCTACTCTTCAATGCTCAGTTCATACCCCGCTTGTTAGTTTTTGCTGTTGTTTTGAGCACTGCAATAATCTTTAGCTCCTAAGCTGATGTTCTGCTACTTGAAGACAGGGGACCACATCTCATAGTTGCTCACCTGTTGGCCTTGCCAGAGCAGCTGCAGGTTACATACTCAGGGGGAGGAAGACTCTCAATGCTCCATGCAGCTGGCCTCTGGACCCTTAGCAGCCTTAGTGGAGCAATTCTTTAGCTAAGTATTAGAAAAATGAACATATTTGTTAAGACTTGTTCCCTTGTAAAAATTATAATAATTTTTAGGGGCACTAGTATCAGCTTCTTTTTTTAGCTGTGTTGTTTATCATGTACCTGTTATCCAGGAAAGCAGGTATAGAAATTGATAGTACAGCAGTTGGTAGAATGCTACTGAAATTTAAAAAACAAATTTTCTGCTTATTGGATAGTTATTTTAGAGTTTTTTCCTACAGCCTACAGATATTTCTTTTAGGTTGTAGGTAAATATTTTCTTTGATGTAATACTTTTTTTTGTTTTTCTCGATAAAATATCTTTTAAATTACAGAAGTTGGGCCCTGGCTGATGTTACTCAGTGGTTAGAGAATCAGCCTATACACTGAATGGCCATGGATTTGATTTCTGGTCTATGGCATGTGCCTGGGTTACAGATTCAATCCCTAGCCCAGTTGGGGCACATGTGGAGGCAACCAATGGATGTGTCGCTCTCACATTGATGTCTCTCTCTCTCTCTCTCTCTCTCTCTCTCTCTCTCTCTCTCTCTCTCTCCTCTCTCTCTCTCCCTCTCTCTCTCTTTCTCCTCTTCCTTCCCTCCTTTCCATTCTCTCTGAAAAGCAAGGGAAGAAATATCCTTAGATGAGGATTAAAAAAAATTTACAGAAGTTGGTGTGGTATTTTGAATAGTATGTTGTAAAGCTAAATTATTCCATATATTTTTCTTTTTAAAAAATTAGGTACATTTTGCTTTTAAATCTTTTTGCCTTCGGAAGCTGTATTTATATAACCTAGCATTCCATCATAATAAAGTGGTGATACTGGAAAAGGATGTGCTAATAGGATTAGAAGATGGGCTTTGTGCATGCCCTCTCTCTAATTTCTTTGACAATAAGATGCTGCTGTTTGTTTTGTCATTTCAGGGGCCCAAATTCTCTTTAAATTATTTAATAAGCTAGAAGGTTGAAAGCTGGCTTATGGTATTTAATTGCTTCTGTGAACATTAGCAGGTTTAGCATGCTCAGCATTTGTGCTGTGTTTAATATTTCTACAGTATTCACTGTGTGCTCTCGTTTTGATAGTTGAAGAGACAATATTGAATACTGTGACTTATAATTAAAAAACATAGTTTCCTTACAATTATTGCTTACAATAAGAATGGATGATTTTAGGTTTTATTAATTTGTCTTTTTGCAGAATATGCTGAATTTCTACATTGCAAAGGAAAAAAATTCACAGATTTTGATGAAGTTCGCCATGAGATTGAAGCAGAGACAGACCGAGTGACGGGCATGAATAAAGGCATTTCCTCCATACCCATTAACCTACGAGTCTATTCCCCACACGGTAAGTAAAGTAACACAATTCCAGCTTCTTGTTCTCAAAAAAATTCATGACATCAATTAACATGCATTATTTGTATAGAAGATGGTTTGTTCTCTCAAAAAATACCGGGTTTCTAGGATAGTGTTTGGATATTGCCATAAATTCTGTGGTCTCAAGTGTTCATAGATTTATTTATGGGGAGGCAGGAGGAGGTGACTTAAAATGATCAGAATTGAGTAATTTCTTTATGTTTATTTTAAACTTTTAGAATGCCAAAGAGGTATGCTTGACAGCTTCAAATTTTCAATACCCTCAGTCTTTGCAAATATCTTAGCGGTGCTTGGTACTATGGTTGAGTCTTCCCTATTAGATTTTCTTGCAGCCCTGTGTATCCTCTTTATTCTCTTCCTTAGTAATCAACTGCAATTTGCTTTCCAGACTATCAGCAATTACAATTTAGACAACCAATTCATTTTAGTGTGGTAGGTTTTAATCTCTAATTTTCTATCCAGCTCTGTTGCTTTTCAAATGGAACCTGGATGAAGTAAGTTCCATTGCAATGTCCCAAGAAGACTTGGTGTCAGCGCTCTTCTGTGCAGGGAACAAGAGCCAGGTCGGGGCTGGAGTCACCGAGTCAGGGTTCGTTGCCTGCTCTCTGGAATGCTGCTCCATGAGACTGGCTGGGTAGCCCCCAAGGGACCATGAATGGTGAACAGCTTTCCAACAGGCTAAGTGGCTAACCCTCTGTGAATACCATCCGATGTTTTTGAAGGGAAGGACAAATCTTACCCTGAGAACTTGACACCATTTGAAGGCAGTGTACTGCATGAGACTGGCAGACAGTGTGTGAACACATGGCCAGTTTTTACTTATAACCCTTTAGTTGTGGATATGACAGCTCTCCAAGAAAAGAGGCAAGCAAATCAGGGCCATTCAAATTATGTGAAAATGATTATTTGGAATAGCACAATCATATCAAAACAGTGAAAACTTGCGAAGCCATTTCCTATTATTTGCTTTTTATTCTACCCACCTGTGTTGGGGTTATTTGGATGCCCCATCTACAAAGCTGAGCTTTTTCATTTCCACGAAAATGACAGGTGATTCTGCATAGTTGATGTCTTTTAGCACGGAGGGTACACGTAAGACTCTCTTTCCTGTCTGCACAGTGTTAAATCTCACCTTGATCGACCTGCCTGGGATTACTAAGGTGCCCGTGGGAGACCAGCCGGTGGATATTGAGCATCAGATCAGGGAAATGATCATGCAGTTCATCACGCGGGAAAACTGTCTGATTCTGGCTGTCACCCCGGCCAACACCGACCTTGCGAACTCAGATGCGCTGAAGCTGGCTAAAGATGTGGACCCTCAAGGTGAGTGTGTGGCCCTTAGGATGAAAAGAAATTCATTGAGAATGTAAGATAATAGCAATTCTCAAAACTTGAATTCATTATTCACTAAATCTGCCATTATTAATATTGTTAGAGCTTTTGTATTTAGGATGTTGAAAAAAAAAATAACTGGGGAATAAAATCTAAACCTATGCAAATAAATGTAATATTAATTGAGATCTAAGAAAATAGACATTTCTACGTAACCTTCGTGCACTACTTATTTTAAAAGTCAATAAAGTAAATACCTGGGACAGAATTTAGACATTCCCCTTGGCTATTATAAGCATCACCTGAATAATTATTCCCAGTAAAGAACAGAAAGCTTTTTTAATGCATGGAAGATGTTTAACTTACAATTACTTGACATAAATATATATTATAAAAGCAGGGGTTTGTTATTGGAATTTCAGAATCCAGAAAAGTACCTTATTTATGCTGATGATCTGATTTCTTTTCTTCCTCTGAGCTGAGTAATAACAGTTTATCTGCAGGGACCCTAGTGATAGGTCTTTCTATGTGTCTGTTTAAAGTAACTATGGAGGTGCATCAATGATGTGTCTGTTTAATTCAGAGATGTATGGTCTGCAGTTCTAGGATTTCTTCTCTGATCATTAATCACCTTCATTTTCTCTCTTCTCCTTATCATTGGCATGTTAGAACTCCTGGATCAGTTCCCCCCTTTTTTTCTTCTCTAAATCATCTGCTTCCTCATCCTTTTGTTCTGCATCTTGCAGGATTCAGACAACTTTATCTTCAGCTTGTCTAATTTTTCATTTCTGATTTCACTTAATAAGTTGCCACAGCATTTTCCTATTGTGTAAATGTTATTTTTATTGTTTTCTATCCATTCAGCTCTTTGTTTCTTGTGCAGTGTCCTCTCTAAAGGTTTTAACGAGAACATTTTGAGATTTCCTTTTATAATCTACCATGTTTCTGAGTCCATTTTTTCCTGTTGGTCGTTGTCTTTGATCTCAGAGACCTCTCCCAAGGTGATCTGGCGATCTTTTGCTGCTCGTTCAGATACAAGAGCAGAAGCACTAAAAAGCTAGGGAAGCTCTGAGTGGGCATAAATGAGAGTCATTGACTTTACAAGAGGATGAGTGGCCAGCCACTAGATTTCACTGTGATGGTGGGGTTTTCAAGGCTACTGCAGAGCTCAGGAGACAGGAATGTGAAAAGGGAACAGTCAAACACCACAAATCTCACTGTTCTCACTGAGATTCAGTCATTTTTGTGGGAAAAATACCTTTCAGTTTGTTGTAAGCCTTTGATTAATTTCCAGAGTTCTGAAAAAGTTAATTTTGACAATTTTTGCCAATGTTCTTATTGCTTTTATGGAGGAATGGCTTTCTTAAAGGTTCTTATTCCATTGCATTATTCCCCATTCTTATCTTAAGTAACTTTAATAATCAGGAAATTGTCATGTAAAAGACATTTGAATTGGGATAATGATGGAAATCTGGTCATGACATCTGTGACACTGTTGGTCTTCATGATTAACTTGGTGGCTATGCAAGGGGCCTGTCCTCAGCACTTGATGTCCCTCTTTTCTGAAGTTTGCCCTTGCCTGAGTAGGATGAACTATTTAGATAACAGAGAACCATTACTTATTCCAGGGTGCCTGACTTATGATCTGATTCAACAAGGTACATAATTATATAATTTTCCGAGAGGTGGTCTGTTTTAGGCAGTAGCTACTTTGTACCAAAATAAGGCCATTTTCACCTACATAGGACTTGCATATACTAGTATTTAAATATGGGGGGGATGGTGTGAGCAAATGTAGATTTACGGTTGTGAGTACATGAAACAGAGTTTATTCTTGTATTATTATTTATTAATTATTGGGTTAATTTTCAGATGAAGAAATGTAAACCTACTTTTGCCCCACCATGTATATACCTGGGAAGGAAATTTCTGTTGATAAATGAGTATTCGATTATTTGCATAAGGATATTCAAAATGAAAGCTTTTACAAAATAAATAGTACTGTCGTGCTGGAAAACGTTTATCTGTGCCATATATCAAAATGAGTTTCATGATGAATTGCTCTCTCAGTATATGTTGAATGTCACAGATTTGTAGCCAGACAAAGTTCAACCTTATCTGTTGCATCACTTGTGAAAAATGCCTTTACTGACTAAATGAGAATTTTTAGCACAACTTCAAGGGGAATGGCTATCCAGTTTAAAAGGTCAAACTCCTAGTCATCAGAAATATGTAAAATTTTATGTGTATTTTCCCCTGACTCTTCAAAGTACTCTTACACACTTTGGTTTTTGTTTCGGCAGAATAATGTGAGTTCGGTTGGAGTGAGATTTTACTTTGGGGAGAGGGAACTGATTGGGGGGTAACACACTGTGTTGAGTAACGTGCCTCTGACCACAGTGCCTTATGGTTGCCTCTCCCTCTTCACCTTGTGCTCCTCTCACTGCATCAGATCACACCTCAATTAATTGCTGTATTAAATGGTGTAGATAGAACACCACAGGGTTTGGAAGCAGATCTTTCACATCCTGATAGCATATCCTTGGGCAAATTGTTTAACTTCGTTGAACCTTATTACTTCATTTCTAAAGTGAAATGAAATTGTAATAAACCTTATCTCAAAAGGTTGCGATGGCAATTAAATAAGATTAATGTATCTATAAAGATAATTCTAACTCCAAATGCTAGCAATTATTTTCCTCTTGGAAAGATTCAAAGGAATCTTCACTTTATTATTTTATTTTTTGTCTGTAGTTTAGAGTGATAATAAACCTGTAAAAACAATCAGTAGCTTTCTGTAATCCAGTGTTGCTTATACTAGTATGAATTAATGAGGCCTAATAACACTTAGAATTATAATAAAATTATTTTGAATATTTTAAAACTGTATCATAAAAATAAAAATAAAAATGATTCCAGACTCACCTGAGAGTTGCTTGATTAACTGTGGGTGAAATGAAGACCTTAACGGGGCTGAGGGTGGGGTTGGATGGAAGGAGGGTTGTCCTTAGCTGGCTTGATGTGTTTAAGGCATTATGCCAGCTCTTGTTCATGGATTTAGGGTAACAGGACCAGACTAGGGTTCTTAGCACAGCCTCACCATGGAGACTGCATTGATTCCTCTCAGATACATTTTCTCTGCTAGTTAGAATGTCTGCTCAGATACAATTAAATCACTGCCTTTGTTAGCTAGTTCATTAATTTGCTGTTCAACAAATATTTAGGAGGCATCTCTTGAGCCAGGCGAAGTGTTTGTGGTCAGGAGTGTAAATTCTGTATGCTGGACCACTCAGGAGGACATTAGACGAGGTAGATGCTCAGTACACATTTCTGATTATTTTCGTGACTCTCCACCGTTACAAATAAGGTCTTTGTTTGTATCGCATCTTCTCACATGTATGTGAGGTCATGCAAGTCCCCAGAGAAATATGACAGAAGATGTGCTTGATGAGATGAACATTTTAATATTTTAGGGGGTGTAATTCAGCTCACAGCATGTATTAATTCCAGTGAAATGAGTCGTGTAATAACACTCTGTGTCAGATGTTATAACCACAAGTATTCTGTTAGATAGGTGGCATTGCCCAGTTTTATGTAAGAGGAACTGAGAGGTTCTGGAACTTGCTTTCAGTCTAAAGGATGGAAGTAGTGGGAGCGTGATAGGAGCCCACCTACCTCTGTTCCCAGTAGGTCTAGTTTGCTATTTAATCATTCCGCTTTCTCATCTCAGTTGTTTTTTAAACACTTTATCCAGGGATAATCATGAACACATGTTAGAATTTTATAAAATTGGAGTGAAAGGTACTTGATGAAGTTTTATGATAATAAACATGGCAAAACATTGTTAAAATTCCATTGAATTAGGTTTTGCCTGATAAAATTTTTTTGTGAGGTAGAGATTTATTAGAATATCTCTGCATCTTTTCTCTGTATAAGAAACAGACTCCCTTGACAAACATAAAGATGGAATTTCTAGAGCAAATTTTGTAAATGCTGGAAAAAAGAATTGATTTGGAAGAGTTTATGGTTCTGTTCTCATGTGAATACTTCCTCATTATTTCCTAAAAGCAAAGCACTCAGTGAAAATTATCTTCAACTGATTTCACTTAATTTCACTTTTATATGTCAGTTTTTAACATGGCTACATTGCTTTCTAACTAATTTTAGTAGATAATTTTAGCTGCTTTTGCATCTACCCAGCAAATAGTTAACGAGCAAGGACCACATGGCAGGAGCCATTCTGAGCGTCACGAATGCAGTGGTGAACAAATCAAAATGCTTGGCCTCATGGAACACATAATCTAAACGAGGGAAACAGACAGATGACAGATAACTGATTATTGCGATGCCAGGATTGCGTAATGTCAGGTAGTGCCAGAAAATTAAACAGGATACAGGAAGAGAGAGTGCTGGGGAATGCTATTCTAGACACAAGGGCTGTGGAAACAGCATTTGAGCAGAAAACTGGGGGGACAGGCCCTGTCAGTTTCTGGAGGTGGAGCCTTCCGGGCTGTGGGGACAGCAAGCACAAAAGGACCAGGAGTGGAGCTGGCTTGTTAAGGGACAGCAAGGAGGCCCCTGAGGATGGAGCTTGGGGGGAGGGAAGGAGATGTAGGTTCTGTCATCAGAGAGGTAGGCAGGCCAGAGCCTGTGGTGTGTTCTAGGCCATCATAACAGACACTGTATTTTATTCAAAGTGTGATGGGCAACCACTGGAGGGTTTTGAGGGTAGAGAGAGAGACGGTCCGACTTATGTTTTCATGGTTGAGTCTGCGTGCTGTGAGAAGAAATGACTGAAAGAGGGATCTGAATAGAAATGGGGAGAGCAGTTAGATTATTCCTTCAAAGAGGTCCTGCAGGGGAGAGTGGATGTGGCTTGGAATCAGAGAGAAATGGACCAGAGGGAAGACACCATCTGATTCAAGGTCCACTTGGAAAGTAGAGCTGACAGTATCACGGGTTTGCTGCAAGTAAAAGCAAGCAGGTTAGGA